CTCTGCGCGCCCCCAGTTCAACAGTTACCCCCGTGGGACCCTGTGCGGGCGTCCCTCGTCTATCTGCTCTGCGGGGTGCCCTGTGCTGCTGCTCTGCCTGGGAACAGATGAGTCAGCACCAAGACTCCTTCCTATTGGTTGAGCTCAAGGGGGGGACTCTGTGCCCCGAGAACGGGCCCCCCAACACTCAGCTCCTTGACCCAGGAGCAACACCCTCACCCGGTTCCACTCTCGCTGCCCGGTGCCAGGAGAGGCGATGGCCGGAGGATGGAGTGTCCTGCTGGCGCTGCTGGCTGTGCTGACCCTGCAGGGCGCGGGGGCTGTCAAAGGTGGGTGAGGGCACTGGGGATGTGGGGTGGGGGTATGCAGTGCCTTGGACCCATGGGTTGGGGGATGTGGGGGCAGAGGTGGGTCTGGGGTGCCCTGGACACACAGGGTGGGTGTGTGGGTATGGGGCAGGTCTGGGGCAGGGCTGGGGCAGTGCCTGGGCCACAGGGCACTCCGTCCCTCCATCTGCAAGTATCTCTGGGTCGAGATGGGCCCCAGCTGGAGGGGCAGAGCAGGCTGAGGAGGAGGGGGGCTGGAACACTATTTCACTGCCCTCTCCAAGCCCAGGTCTCCTGCACTCCAGCCCCACAGTGACCCAGCACTGTGGTTTAGGTCCCTGTAGCACCCACTGCTTCTGGGAGTCCCTCTGCAGTGGACCTGCCCCATGGCCTGGCCCTAGTGGGACTATTGTATGGGGCAGGACCGAAGTCCCTGGGGCCTGGGACCACCACCCCACCCTGCATCATGTCTTGGGACAGGCCCCTGTGGTCCCCACGGCCTGTCACTGGCCACGGCCTCAGGTAGTGAGGAAGGGAAACCTCCTGATGGTGTGAAGGTGCTGGAGTTGGGGGCTGGGGGCAGAGCGGGTCTCCGAGTGCTCCTTTCCTGGAGGGGGGGGCCAGCCTCTGCCCAGCCCTGTGGGACCCCTGAGGGAAGGGAGAGGCTCAGGGTGGGCTCCCATCGGGCCTCCCCACACCCATGCACTGTCCCCATGGGAGCCCATGGGGAGATGGGGTGAGCGCCGTGTCGGTGGGAAGGGCACTGACCCTAACGCCTGTCCCTTCCCAGTGGGGCACGTGATGATCCAGACCGACATGTACCAGCGGGATGAGAGGCTGCAGCAGGAGGGCGGCGAGTTCATGCACGATTTTGATGGGGACGAAATCTTCCACGTGGACCTGCAGAAGCAGGAGAATTTGATTTCGATGGGGATGAGACGTTACACGTGGACCTGCAGAAGCAGGAGAATGTCTGGCGTCTGCCTGAGTTCAGGAACTTCTTCACCTTTGAGGTGCAGGGAGCGCTGCAGAACATGGCTGTAATGAAACACAACCTGGAGATCGATATGGAAAGGTCCAACCGCTCACTGGGCACCATCGGTAACAACCCGGCCCCTTTGCCCCTGGGGACCCTGACAGGGCTGTCGCTCCCGCAGCCTGTGGCCCAGCTGGCAGTGGGGTGCCCAGCACCCTGCGCCCCTGGAACACTTGGGACCTGGGCATGGCCCCAAGCCAGGGTGTGGGGTCTCCCTGGGGGGCAGAGAGGAATTATGGGGGCCATTTCTAACCAGCCCCAGGAGCTGTGGGGCCTGGCTGAGCCAGGGCTGTAGGGCAGCACTAACTCCTCCCTCCTCCCCGCTGTCCCCAGTGCCACCCGAGGTGACGGTGTTCCCCAAACGCCGAGTGGAGCTGGGGGACCCCAACGTCCTGATCTGCTACGTGGACAAGTTCTGGCCCTCCGTGATCTCCATCTCGTGGCTGAAGAACGGGCAGGAGGTGACGGATGGCGTCCTCGAGACCATTTTCTACCGAGGGCCAGAATTCACCTTCCGCAAGTTCTCCTACCTGCCCTTCATCCCCACCCGCGGGGACTACTACGACTGCCGCGTGGAGCACCAGGGGCTGTCCACCCCCCTCCTGAAGCACTGGGGTGAGGAGCGGGGCCGGGCCGGGGTCCCCTCCCCTTGCAGGCAGCGAGGGGGGCTCAGCGCCCCCTCCTCACCCACCCTCCCCCCTCCGCAGAGCCCCAGCTGCCCCTCCCCGCCTCCGAGAGCACCGAGACCCTGGTCTGCGCCCTGGGCCTGGCCGTGGGCATCGTGGGCATCATCGTGGGCACCATCCTCATCATCAAGGCCATGAAGATGAACAGCACTCGCAACCAGCGGGACACCTTGTGAGGGGGCAGAGCCCGGGTGGGCCCTGCCTCCCCAAAGCCAGACCCTCTGCACCCTCAGCCAGCCCTCGCCTCACCCTGGTGGGATCTGATCACCCCAGTGCCCCATATCCCTGCCCCACCTCCTCAGCACTCCCTTCTCCCATGTGCATCAAACTCCAACGTGCTGGAGACAGCTCCAGAGCCAGACCTGGTGGGGGTCTGTCTCCACAGGGGGGCAATTCCTGCACAGACCTGGGGCCTGCACTGGTCCCAGCACCCACCTCACACCACGCCATGCTGGGGCTGCCCTTGGCCCCACAGCCATCTCCTACCAGGGACATGGCACCTCCTCCCAGCCCAGATGTGGGGTCTGCCCCGCAGACCCCTGAAGGGAGGGGAGGAGGGGTGCCCTGCCCCACAGTTCCCCCTCAGCACACAGTCCTGCACCCTTTGCTCCTGCTCTGCTGCTTTCTCACCACAATAAAATGGGCTGGGGTTGATCCTGCCGTGCGACCCTCAGCGTGATTCTTTTCTCTAGACCGTGCTGGGGGGTGGTGGTGGTGTGTGACTGCAGCTCTGCAAGCCCCCTTGGTGTCTGGGTGATCTATGGGGTGGTGTGGGGCAGGGCCCCAGGGATCTAGCTCTTGGGCAGAGGGACAGGGTAGGGTGACCTCAGATTTGGGTTCTCCCAGCCGATGTAGGTGGGATCTTTGCACCTCTAAAGAACAGTCCCATGGGGGAGGCACCCATTTGTGGCCCCTGGGGGGGCTCACAGAGCCCATCGGCCCATAGCCACCCTGATGGCAAGGCCAGGAAGGGGCTCTGGGAGACCCGGATCCTGCTGTGCCACAGATACCAGCAGCCTCCATGGGGCATGGAACTCCCTGGTCAACGGGGTGTGGGCAGAGCCAACGCCAACCAGGGGACCCTGGACAGGAGAGTCCCCGCTGTGTCCACCAGCACCCAGGGACACCCCCAGGGGTGGCCAGGATCCACAACACCATGTTCACCCCATGGGTGCGAGGGCGCGTGGCTGACCCCCTTGCAAAGCTGGGAGCTGGCCAAGGGGCGACCCAGAGAGAGATGAGACCAGTTCAAGCATCAACCCTCTTCCTGCAGGCACTGTGACCCCTCGTGTGCACACACTTGTGTGTGTACCCTGGTCGGTGGAGGAGAACCATGTGGCTGCACCCAAGAGCCATTAGCTGGGGCAGGAGGGAGCAAAGATGGATCTTGCCCTCAGCCAGACCAGTCCTCCCAACAGTGGCTTTGCCTGGTAACTGGTGACACCGTAGCCCTGCTCTGGAAGTCTCCAGCAAGGCCTGTCCTGGTTCCCCTTTCCCTCCCCCTCACTGCCTGGCTGTGTGGGGTCTGCACACGAGGCTTGTGCACGTGGGGGGGAGGGCAGTGGGGTCTCCGCAGGCTCTATGGGGCTGGGGACCTTTGGTGCTAGAGCTCCAGGTTGTGCCCGTGATGGGGTCTGAGCCCACGGGGCAGGGATGTGCTGAGCCCCATGTGCACGAGCCCCAACGCCCAGGGACTGAGATGGGAACACAAACCAGCAAAACCGCCGTTGCCATGGGGCTGTAGAGGAGAAGCAGCCCCTGAGGAAACCCCCGGACAAGGAGCAAATCCCTCCCAGGAGCAGCGATGGACGAGGCAGCGCAGCAGCTCAGGGCCTGCTTCCCTCCTGGCTGGGGGCGGAAGGGGAAGATGTGGCTGGAACAGAAAGCGGATGACGTGCAGCAGGGGGGATGTGAAACCCGTCTGCCTCGCACATGGGTGGCACGCTGGGGTCGCGTGGGGAGACCAGAGGGGTCCCTCTGAACCCCCCAGTGGGAAGCACCCCCCGTGCAGGGGGTATGGCTGCGGGTGGGTCCAGCGTGGGGTCTGCTAGGAAGCTGAGCTCTCGCTCTGAGGCCTGAATGAAAACTACCTGGAGATGACCAATTCCAGGACAAAAACCGTAAATAGCAGCAACAGCTGAGCCCCTGCCCCTGGCATCACACGGTGGTGATCAGACAGGAGCCACTGTCCCTCCAGGGTAGCTCTGGGGCTGGACCCCACTACGGATACGTCTCCCCGCGACCCACACCCTGAGGGGGCTCAGCCTCGGTGACACGGCGGGAGCAGAGGGGGTCAGCTGCCTCTGGGGATGCGAGGCTTGTCCTCCCCTCTGGCAGAGGCACAACAAGCACCCTCAGCCTCAGGAGGACACTCGTGGTCCTGACATGAGATGCCAGTGGGGAGGGAGGGAGAAAGGGACTCGGTTTGGAAAGCAGACAGGGTCCCACATGGGTTGCAGGCAGCACCAGGGGGGTCCTGGAGGTGTCTGGGGGCTCCCACCTCGGCCACACAGACCCAGAGCCCAGTGGGCACATCCTAAAAGAGCGGTGCCAAAACCAGCCGATGTTTGCAGCCCCAGGGTTTGGTGGGGCTGGAGTCAGCACGGGGGTCCCGGGGGTGCTCCTGGCTGAGCCCCAGCTCCCACCCCCCACCTCCCAGAGGAATCCAGGTGCCCTGACTCAGCAATGCCAGGCCAAGGGCTCGCCTGGCTGGAGCGAGAAGGTCCCGCAGCAGACGCTGGGACGGGGACCTCAGCCACCTGGAGTCTGCCGGAGACTGGTGACGCGGCCCAGTGCTGCCTGCTGACTGGTTGGGCTGGGGTTACTGGAGGGCAGGGAGAGCAGGCAGGGCCCTTTCCCCGAAATGCTGGCGTGCCCCATGGGGGGGCGGACACCGGCTTGGGTGGAAATCCCCTGTCTCTGTGGGTGCGGGAGAGGGGGGTGGAGGGGTCAAGCCAGCAGGACAGAGTTACCTCACCCCAAGGACGCCAAGCCCCGTGGCGTCGGGGTCTGAGGCCAGGATGGGATCGCTGCAGCATCAAGCTGAGCAGCCGCAGCATTGCCTTGGCCACAGGGGTGTCCCCTTTCATTGGGCGGTGGCCCATAGGGACTTGGCTCCCTTGAGACCCACGCCTGCTCCAGCCACCCCCTCCGGCTGTGCCAGAGCTGTCCGAACAGGAGCCTCACAACACTCCCTCACCAGGGAGCCAGTGCTCCCATCCCTTGTGTCGCAGGCACGCAGCCCCCAGGGCTGAGGTGGTCCGCGGTAGGGTCACCCCTCCCACCCCCAGCCCCGTGCCTGGGGTCCCCTTCACCGCCTCGAGAGCGCAGGGGAAGGGGGAAACAGGGGCGAACGGTGCCGGGGGATTCCCAAGAGAAGGTTCCCTCCTCCCCCAGGGCTGCCATGTCACCAGTTACCAGGGGGAAGGGAAGGCCCGAGCCCAGACGGAGAGTGCCCTCGCCCCCTTCCTCCGGAGAGCGGCTTCCCAGCAGGCAGCACTGCCCTGGAATGATCCCCCCTGACCAGGGACGGTGTGACAACGCCAATGCGAGAGACACTGAAACACCCCCAAAAGGCTCAAACACCTCTTTTTACTACCGCCAGGACAGCTACAGGAAGCAGGAGGGTGACCAGCACGTGTGGGTAGGGTGGGCAAGAGAAGAGACATGTCTCCCCCCACCCTTGACCTTGACCTGGGTCTGGGATCCCACCCTGGAGCAAAGCAGGACAAGCAGGACACTGAGGTGGGAGCTGTCCCCACAGACCGGTGCCCAGCAGTGGACTTACCCTACACAGTTGGAAGCACCTTTTGGGTGTCCTGGACCTAGGACCCCCTGACCAAAGCCCACCCTGTCCCACTGACGCCGTGGTGCTGGGAGCAGGAAAGACACACTGGGGAGCAGGGCGAGGTGGCAGCCCTGGCGTGCACCGAGACCGGTTCATGCCCTTTGGACTAGGCAGCACTTTGCTCTAACTGCAAGGGGCATGGAGCAGCTCCAGGCACCTTCTCCCTTCCCGAGCCCTGCCCAGGGTGGTACCATCCCTGCCCAAGGACAGGCCTGAATCTGCGCCAAAGCCGGAGCAATCTCTGGCAAATCACTGTGTGGCGAGCGCCGGCACGGCAAGAGTCAGGAGATTCCGGTAGCTTCATTATCAATCTATCCTTTGTCCCAGCCACCAGCAGAGCTCCCCACGTTTCCCCAACAGTACACGTGGCTCTTGGAAGCTCCCCAAAAACTCCTTTCCACCCAGATCCACAGGAACCAAGGCCATCTCCCCGTCACGCTGCCACCCTCAGGCCCACACACAAGGTTTCGCTCCTCCTCACTTACCTTTTACACGTGTCGGGTCCACTCCTGGGCCAGGACTTTCTGTGGTTCAACATGAAGACTCCCACTTGCCTCGCCGAGCTGCCCATGGAGCCACGCAGAAAGGCAAACGCTCCCTTTTTGCCTGGAGACCGCACCTGCCGCAGTGGAAGAGCTTTTGGTTATCACATGCATCAGAGATGCTGAAGAGACCCCTCCAACCAGCCACCCCCATTCAACACCAACGCCAGCCAGCGACTCGCTTTTCCCCCACCGAAAGGCAGCGGGATGGTGGGAAACGACGGTGCCTCCGAGGGGAGCAGAGGAGTCAGAACAGAACAGAGTGACAGCGTTGTCTCCTTGGGCCAGTGTTTTTCACGAGGCCCAAACGCCAGCCTGGCCAAGCGTTGTCTCCCCCATGCAGTTTTTAAGTGCCCGTTACCACGTTTGGGACACGGCAGCTCAGGGGAAGATCAAAGAACAGTTTAGGTTTGGAAGGGACCTGTAAAGGTGTCCTGGTTTGAGTGACACAGGAATCATTTCTCTTTCAGTAATGTCTAACACTTGGGAAAACTGGATTTTTAGAAAACTCTAGTGTCTGAATTTGTGAAAATATTTACTTTATAGACAGCTCTGGGGTGCGGGTTCAAGGTCTCAGTGTTTCCGAGCTCCCCAGGAGCGAGACCTGTGCACTTGACCCAAGCTACCAACAAGATTATTTCATACCATGAACGTCACATTTAATAGAAATTAGAAAGTTTGCTGAAGTGTTTCTCCTATTCCATAATGGCTGGGATCTGGAGAACTCCTTGCCTTGGTGCTGGAGCCCTGAGCCCTTCCCTCCCTCCCGAAGCCGCAGCGCTCGCAGGGTCCCACATTGGCTGTTCCTGTGGGGAGTGCACGGCTTCCTGGGATGGGCTGGGTATGACCCTCATATATTTTATATTGGTATTGGGATCGATATTGGTTCTTTAGTATTATTAATGTTAACTATTTAGTGTTATTCTTTTAAATGCGTTTTGCATTTCAACCCTCAGGTTTCCTTGCTTTTTCCCGATTCCCCTTCCTGGGGTGGGGAGGGGGACATCAGGTAAGAGAATAATTGTCTAAATGACAATAAATTGTTGTGGGTTCTTCAAACCATCACAAAAGTCCATGGAGTCCAGTCTCCTGTCCTGGGCAGGGACATCTCCAACCAGAGCAGGTCGCCCACAGCCCCGTCCAACCTGCCCTGGGATGTTCCAGGGACGGGGCATCTCCCCCCCTCTCTGGGCAATCTGGGCTGGGGTCTCACCACCCTCAGCATAAAAAATGTCTTCTAATACCTAGGCTGAATCTGCCCTCTTTTACCTTAAAACC